CATATATATTTTTAACTGTTGTTATAGAAGAGTGTGACGGCCCCAGGGCCTTTGTCTTACGATGGGGTGGAGCTGAAGAGGCTAATCAGCACGATCACGGACACCTCCGGACACTACGGCCCCAGTCTCTCTCCAAAGCGGCTGCAGGAAGACTAACTCTGCGATCCTCTCAACCACCTATCTCTCCATTTACCACAATAAATGTGCCGTGGTTTTGTAAACTCGTGTATGTCTCCTTGTCTTTGTGGCCTACGAGCCGCTCATAACAAAGAGTAAGTTATTTTTACCCGTTATAAACTACTACTGTTTGATGAGAAATCAAATCATGGTTTGCTATATATGAATTCAGGGAAGAAAGGATAGGCCTACTAAGTATTTCCATTAAACTTTATTTTTAGAAATGTACAAAATGAACATAAATATACATATATACACGGTATATCATCCATTCCTCCTCCTCGCATCTTGCCTGCGCACAGTCGGTGCGGTGCCTTTTAGCACGACGCCTCAGTAGTAGTAGAAGTGCCTTTTAGCACGTCATGGATTGTCCGCCAGGATCTGGCTGGACGAAATCAAATGCAAATCACAAAATATTAGAGAAACTTAGTTGTTTTAGATTCGTTAGTTGTGTAATGAACAGCTTGCCTGCTAATATGCTAACCTAGCTTTGTTTACCTTGGTAGCTAACACGATATGAACGTTAGCTTGGAGGAAAGGCAACTATAATGCAGTGTAATAAAACTACTATGAACAAAAGCTAGTGGTTCATATTAGGCTAGCAATAACGTGTTTATAATTGCAATCGTATACGGGTATTCTGCTACCATACAATGTAACTTGCATGAATACATTGTTTTGCGCTAGCATACAGCTAGCCTCGTTAGCTACATGTAGTATATGTACGGTCACAATGTACGGTAAATCACAGTACAGTATACTGTATGAGTATTCCGTGTGTGTGAATGCAGACATTCTCCTGCTATGAGATACATGTATGCAAGGCCATCTGCTGATATTAGAGTTGATATATGGAAACTCTAGCAACTTAGTTAGCACAGTTAGCACTGTGTCAATGGCTTAGCAGTCCAACACAGTTTACACATTTAAACAGTCTTGTTTGATAAATACACAAATAACAATGCAAACTTACAGGTTGTATACCCAGATCTTCCCCTGCTCCAAACGGTCCAAACAAGCTGTGCATATCCGGCCTCAAACTGGGCAATGTTTTGGAAGCTTTCGTCTGTGAAATGCCGGTTCTTCGAACCTCTGGAGGAGGAACACGCCGCTGCTGGTGTGGCCATAGCTATTCGGGATTGGTCCATTTCGTTCCGGGTACCGCATGACATCAGGCGGTACCCGGAAGAATCAAATGGGCAGTGACGTATCTCCAACGAGGCGTTTTGGGGAGGTATTTTCTGTGTTAGAGTTTTACTCGCTACAGGGTGTACTTTGAGGGTTTTGACTCTGCACACCGTTTACATGCATAAAAACCTTCATAACACACAAGGGGACGGGTAATAACCGGAAAAGCATGACATGGGAGCTTATAAAGTACAAGTATCTCAAAATTGTACCCAAGTATAGTACTTGAGTTTATGAACTTAGTTACGTTACACCACTGGCTATAAAGATAGAAAGACTAAGCCTTGAACAGAGGCATGAAAATACATTTTCAAAATGCTCAACAGTGCTGCCAAAATTATAAACTGACTGCTACACAATTAAAATAAATGCTTTTATATATTTCTATTAGATGTGAGTCTTTGGCGTTTCTGTTATTATTAACTGCTTTAGTTGTTCTGACTGCTAAAATCCTCTGTTATTCCTCATTTTAAAGCCGATATTCTGTGGGGTCGGGGGGCTCGGATCCTTGTCACCTTTTTCATACCTGATGAGTTTTCATCCCTGACTGACTCACTTTAATCACGTTTAACAAAAGTAAAGTCCAGACACTAAAATCTTCCTTACTGTGTGCCGATAACATTTTAAGTTGATTTGTAATTGATCTGTCTCACTGTCTCAAAGTCTGCGGGAGAACGTTTGCTTATACTGTTGACTCATGAGAACATCTCCAACACCTTTTTTCTTTCTTCTCAACGCTGTGCATGTTTCCACCACCTGCCGCTCGCTTGTTGTTGCTATAGCAGCCCGGCGTAGGTGCATCTGAGTGCACACTCGTCTGAAGGGACCTCAGTCTGTAAAGATATGTATAACTTCACACGTTTTTCTGTGAAGGGAGCTGCTGAAGTTTGAGGTTAACACCCACAGTCCATCACTGCAGCCAGACAGAAAAAACCCCATGCAGACCAAAAGAAAAAGCCACACAGGCTGCAGATAGTGTGATTGATAATAGCACAAGACAGCGGTCAGTTAATGCAAACATTTCTCACGCTGCTGCCGTCAACAGACTCCCATGTGTCGACTCTGCATAAAATATGTATAGCACATCCTCTTCTCTGGTGTGACAGCTGCTGAATGGTGCTTGTGTTGATTGTTATTGTTGAGTTTGGTTTATTTTGGAAGATGCTCCATTTACAGTGCAATTTGCAAAGTGTAAGATGCATGAAAAACATATATAAAGAAAGGAATAACGTGTACAGATAAATGCAAGAGTACATAATCATGTTACATTAACTTAGATATGTCCAGAAGTAGAATATGCAAATTAACATATAAGACAACCTATAATGAAGGAAACATTTAATACAATTTAAAGTGGACCTATCATGCTATATTTAAATGATATATTGTAGGGCCATACCTATACAAGGTATATTTATACGTTTCTGTTTTCAAAATACCAAACAGATCATGCATTTTAGCCATGCCTCATTTCGCTCTATGTGCTGTTTTCTGTCTACGGGTCTGATTCTGCTGACCACGCCCCCCTGCAGGAGAGGGGAGCCGTGCTCTGATCAGCTGCTGGGCTGTCAGAAGAGGGGGAGAAAAAGAGATCTCCATCCTCCGTGTTTTATTATATAGAGTCGTTATTCATTTGTTTTAAAGCTCAATAAATAACAAAGAAGACCTTTGACCGGCACTTTTCTAATTTTGTCCAGAAGATTTAAACTTTAACGGACATCTTGACCGGCGAAAGAAACTGAAACTGAAACTCTGCCGCACGGTCCCCTCGTTCCTTGGAAGAGGCGGAGAGGTGGGTGTTTGTCATCTGCTGGTGGACTAACCGGAGAGAATTACAGTGCTTGCCTCGACGGGGAGGGATTGCATTGAATTAAAGCAGCGGGAGCAAACGCTTGCCTCAGGGAGGAAAAAAAAAAGCCACAGCAGAGAATAAACAGAAGGGTAACCATGGTAACTATGGGCGGGAAGTCTTCTTCGCTGCTTTTGTGGCAGACTACAGCACCACTTACAGGCCTGGCATATGTACTACAGCGTCTACAGCGCTTTCGAGCGGCAATGGCCGGCCGTGGCCCAACCCCCACATCCCCAATAGCCGTAGCGCCACTTCTGTGACGACATAGAAGTGTTCAAATCTGGATCAGTCTGTATCAGATCCGTTGCAGCCCCTTTTTTAGAGATTTGGGTATGGAGGAAAATAGAAAGGGTTGTGTTTTCTGACACTTGGTGAGTTCCCTGGAACACCGGGGACACATATTCATGTATAAAAGACGTACAAAAGTGCATTTTGCATGATAGGTCCCCTTTAAATTAATAAAAGCACACATATCCATGCAATGTATATGAAACAGATATACAAAATATTAAAGTAGAAATAATAATACATTTACCATATTTATACATGTTTTAGAAATAAAGCCACACACTGCTTGCTCATTCAATATTTGTTGCCTTTTTTAAATCAGAAATTATGTTTTATTTTGTAAACAAGGTTTATTACCCATACATTTAAAAAAAAGAAAACCGGTAACAAGTCAGAACAAGGTTTGCTTAAAATGTGTAACACAGATTTGGAGAATTATTTACACTGCAAACGATATACTATGTAGAATAAAAGCCACTTCTCTGGTGTGACAGCTGATTAATGATGTTTGTGTTGATTGTTATTGTTGAGTTTGAGTTTATGCTCCATTTACAGTGCAATTAGCAAAGTGCAAGAGGCATGAGACATCTACATCTGTGCATGAACAAAATAGTAAAAGAAAGGAAACATGTGTCTTCATGAAAAGGTCAACACCCCAACAATGAGAGAGTGTTTCCTGCTGACGTCGGTGCTAAGAGTCTGAACCTGCTGCAGAAAAACTGTTCAGACTGCAAAATCTGCAGCACTTCCTGAGAGCGACGGTTAACACTCTGATATCTCACCATCGCTGTGAGAAGAGTTTTCCGTCTCTAACCGACAAGATTTCATTTCACCCAAACTCAGTGCTTTCTTCAGTTTCCTACAAAGACACAACAACACCCGCAACAACACAGGACACTTGATACATTCATCATATTAGAGCGTAGACCAACATTACTTTCTACGCCATGGACCTAAAATAAAATAAGCCATTTGTTAATCACATTGAAGTGTAATATGAAGTGCGATGATTTAAAAAATGAAACCTTAATCATTCAAATTATATTCCATCGGAAGATTTAATCAGATTTACAGAAAAATGCAACTTATTTTGTGATGTCATTATCAATTTAAGCAACATAATTGTGTATCGTGATAACTTGATATAGGATTTTATAATACAATTATATTAAAAGACGATAAATCAGAATCGTTTCCATCAAGAAGGTTTACACATATGAGGAATTGTTGTAAATGGTGCATTCAAAGGCACAGAAAGAAGAATACGTTGTTGTTTTTTTAACTAAGAAGATTATTTGTTTTACTATTTAACAACTATTTTTACGAAAATTGTAGCAAATTACAAATAAAGACAGCATTTACACAAAATATAAATATGTTAGAAACCGAGTACAGTACTTTATATGAAACTATCGCCCAGCCGTGGTCAAGCAACCTAAACAAAGCATGTGTTATTATTCACATTGTATTTACATTATTTGTTATTCCTCTGCAGAGCGGTGTGGACGACACTCACTGTATCCCCCCCTCCCCGGTGGTCCACGTCCGAGGGCTCTGTGACGCCGTGGTGGAGGCCGACCTGGTGGAGGCACTCGACAAGTTTGGCAACATCTGGTAACTTATTACACTTATTAGACTTTAATTAAATGGTTTTCCAAGGTTAAATAAGAATACTAGACGTATTTTTAAGTACGCTGGAAAAACGGAAACGTTGACTTTAATTAAATGTGTTATGTCAACAGATTTCACATATCTGTATTAGGTTAGTTGAAAGCAATGATATTAAGTTTAAACAATACAATATTAGGTTCAACTTAATATTATTGCTTTCAACTAACCTAATACAGTTATGTGAAATTTGTCAAGTCAACGTTTCCGTTTTTTCAGTGTACTTAAAAATACTCACTACATACAATGCCATGTCTAATATTTGTATTTAACCTTGAACAGTCTCACGCATTCTCACACACACTCATAAGATGTGTAACATGTTTGATTAAGTCTAGACTTCACCAACAGACTCTCTGGAGTTTTGATTACTGAATCGACTATTACTGTCTGTCTGCTCACACACATTAAATGGCTGAATTATTTACACATATTTGCCGGATATTGAGGTGCAGTCTGATGTGGTTTGCTGTCCATCAGAACAACATGATTTGCACACATTCCTCACACAACAAACATCCCATAAACCTCTGCTGCTTAACCTGCAGATCATCAGGTTTTAATGCTCTCTCTGCAGTCAAAACCTCACAAAATAAATCAAGTCTTTTTTTCCAGCCACTTCTTGTTGCGATCATAGCATCATTATCATAAGAATAATTTTATTTTGAACAGATCAAAAGAGCTGAAAGGACGTTCAAAGTGATACTAACCATCATGAATTAACCGCAGCACACAGCCATGAATGAGGAAGCCAGAGTGAGGAGGATTATGTAAAAGCTAGCCACATTTATTTTGAAGAGGCAGCATTTTCCTGTGAGCTGGGGGATTTAAAAAGCTCTCAGATTACAGAGCCAGTATCCGTATGTAAATATGACTGGCATCTCTTTTAGCAGTTAAGCAGTTTTTATTCAGAAAGTTGGTTGATATTACAAATAATTTTCCTTTTTATTTTGGTAACTACTGATGTTCATTGTTCAACCTTTTTGACAATATATACAAAGGAATTGACAGTCAACAGTATTTGACTCTTCGATACATCTTGCAAAACTTCCACCAACATCTGAATTTGTCAATTTTTTTAATTATTCTTAGCGTACAATCTTTTAAAAATAATAAACCTACTTTCCATAGAGCTCTGTAAAACAAAAAAACAGCAGCTTTAACCTGGAGCTTGCACTTACACAAAGAATGGCAAGGGACGTTTATTTACAAACCACATTGCAGAAAACACAACAATTCAAACTGCTTTACAAAAGAACTCCAAACCCATCAGACATAGTAAAGCAAAGACACAATATGAACTTAATTGAAACACATGTATAAGTCAATTCAAAAGATGATGAAAACAAATACAAGCTAAAATAGATTAGGACCGGTTTAAAACCCACACAAAAGTTACAATGCAGTGTAAGATACTAATTAGTTTGAATACAAGGCAGCAGGACCCAGAAAAAACGTCAACCTTGACTCTTTTTCTCTGGTTTTAGTTACGTGATGATGATGCCGTTTAAGCGCCAGGCCCTGGTGGAGTTTGACAGCGTGGAGAGTGCCGAGCGCTGCGTGTCGAGTGGAAATCGTGACGCGGTTTGCATCGCCGAGCAGCAGGCCTTCTTCAACTTCTCCACCAGCCAGAGGATCACCAGACCCACCAACATAGACGACCCCAGCAGCGGGAACAAAGTCCTGCTGCTGTCCGTCCAGAACCCGCTGTACCCCGTCACCACCGTGAGTCCACAACCTCCTTTTCCTTATTTACCACAACTACTGTATATCAGCTGAACCTCCACCACCATGAGTCCAGAACCTCCTGTTCCTAATTTACCTGAACTACCATTGTGGCGGCTATATTCCCATTGAATACGGCTGCTCTGAAGCTAAACTTCGCTCATTGTCGTGACGCGTATAAATAATAAAGTCTGTACTGTACTTGAAGTTTTAAGGATATTTAATATAGTAAATCAAAACAATAAACAAACAGTATCATACGGTCAACAAAAGATATCAGAACTAAGCTAACCCCCATTGTCATGCTACTAAACCTCCACATACACCAGGTGCCCTAAATACCATTAACCACACCATGTGACAATCACCGGAAACAACCAATTACAAGTGTGTGTGGTGTTAACAAATACTGAAGATAATATAACTGTAAACACAGGCTACCACAGCATTTAGGCTCCTACAAACTCCTCCGTCACCACCCTGAGTCCAGCTGAACCTCCTCCGTCAGCACCCTGAGTCCAGCTGAAACTCCTCCGTCAGAAAAAAACACAGATGACCGTGAAGATAGAAAATCTATAAACTGTCTGACAAATTAAAATCACTATTGAAGGGGCCACTTTTCTGTTAACACAATATAAGCAGGATATTATAGATATTATTTACATCAAGTGTGCATAAATATACTTATGATGCATGTTAATGTGGTTAAGACTTGCACTTGGACATAGATGTGGGGGAAACTTCTGTGTAGCAATGCAGGAGGAGTCACCGACTCAAAAGGAGACACGGGGAGAGCTGGAGCTTTGATGTCAAACACTGATGGGTTTATTTGGAGCTTCGGCCGGAGAATTCACAAAACAAGTCAAAGAGCCAGAGGTTCTGACTTCACGGTAGAGTTGCCACGTCAATTTTGAAGAACTCTAGCCCAGAGACCCATGTATTTAGCTAGTTCAGAGAGAATAATCAACATTGTGCATAATAAGATAGAATGATAACACCTCTATCAGCTGACGCCAACAGGCAGGAACAGGGAGACAAAACACTGAGAGCACAGCAGCGAAGGCTACAGGTGCCTGTGCTCAGTCAGGACAGTATGAACTGATACACTGGGTCAACGTTATGGGCCTTGGAAAATATTTCCCCAACAATAGACATGTATTTATATTTCATTGATTATTATCTCATATCTGTGTATACTCTGTGTCTTACCATATCTTATTGTTGTTATTTTTATTCATACTGTTCTTATTTAATTTATATTTTTCTCTCAGGATGTCCTGTACACCGTCTGTAACCCGATCGTTAACGTCCTGCGCATCGTCATCTTCAAACGCAACGGCATCCAGGCCATGGTGGAATATCCTTATACATCATTATTTATTTATTGTACTTTCTAAAATATACTTAGTTCAATTTCACCCATGAAATACAGTTTACCGGTAATTCAATTGAAGCTGCAGTTAAAGGGGCCCTGTTAAGCCTTTTTTGGTTTTCCCTTTCATGGTGTCATATAGGTTTTTGTGCTAAGTAGTCTGCAAAAGTGTGAGGGAGTTTCTCTCCCTCACACTCCCCCCTGCCTGAAACGCATTGTGCGTGATAGGCTAAGGGGCAGGACATCTCTAAGCTGTTGACCAATCACCACAGAGCCGGCCAGCTAACCAATCAGAGCAGACTGGGCTCTGGTTTCAGACAGAGGGTGAAAAGAGGTGCTGCAGCACAGGGAGTATGAGAAAGATAAAGAGCTTTCTGAACATTAAAGCATGGAGACATGTCCCAGGAGAGACACTAAATACAAATATGGACGTGAACATTTGCATAATAGGGCCCCTTTAAGAGATTAATAGCATATTTAACTTCACTGTTAATGCAGTAGATAGAATATGATGATGTGCGCATTTAAAGTCATTTAAGATTTAGATCTACTGAAGCTGACAGTAGACCTTTTGAGGACAGTGGAGGTCGTGGTTCTCTCCTCTGATTGGCTGCTTGATGTTTATAATGATGAGTCACCCTTAACAAGCTCGTTAACATTTGAGTCAGTGGAGGACGCTCAGAAGGCCAAACTGGCTCTGAACGGTGCCGACATCTACGCCGGCTGCTGCACGCTCAAGATCGAGTACGCTCGGGTAAACAAACACACACACACATACACACACAGGGCTCCGGACAAACACACACTCAGGTGCATGCACACATACACAGCCTCAGTCTCAAGCCCACGCACACACACCCACCCAGAGGTGCTGTGCTCTGTCGCCCCCTGCAGCCCAACAGACTGAACGTCGTCCGCAACGACAACAGCAGCTGGGATTACACCAAACCCTTCCTCCTGCAGCGAGGTAGGACACCACACACACACACGCACGCACGCACGCACGCACACACACACACACACACACTCACTCACTAGGAAGAAGGGCTTTTAAGAGGCTATAACTATTTAAACATGCAAACATAGAGAGGAGATATGTATCATGTAAACATCTTAGATTATCGAGAATAAAACTCCAAACCAGGATACTAATATGCATTTGAACACACTCATATACTTATTAAATATATGTCATACAATCCACTCCAGTCACATAGGTTTCAAGCTATAGTCTTGTTAGATCTGTATATAATGTGATCCCTCCAGGTGTGTTTTTTTCAGTAAAATGCTCAACTGCTTTGCACATGTCGTCCTAAAGGAATGATATAATGTTCTAGTTATGCATTCACATCACTAAATGGCGGCAGTGAGATGCAGATAAATGATTCCTGGTGTGAAGGTTGCCTTGAGGTGGAGCTCAGTGAGCTCTGCCTGGAGACTCAGAGGTTAAACTGCAGCCTGAAGGTGGTGCTGAAGCTGCTGCTGTGGAGGCTCAAAATAGATTTCCATCACAGAGGGAGCGCTCACTTTCCCCACCCGCTGCTAACCCCGACCATTACACCAAGACACACTTCACACTGTTGTGTGTGTGTGTGTGTGTGTGAGAGAGAGAGAGGGAGAGTCAATGATACTAGCAACAACCTTTCTGTCAGCTGTTATTATGTTAAGGTTTTTGTGTTTATGTGTGTTACAGAGCGGGGGAAAGGGAGGCAGCGTCAGGCCATCCTGGGAGAGCATCCATCCAACGGCTATGGTACAGTCTGTTTTCAAAGATTCAAAGGCTTTATTTTCATATGTAAGGTAGCTACATTGTAGTTATTAAAGATAAGTTATGTTGAAACCTATTTGAAAAGCTCCTTCAACAATCCAACATAAATATATATAAAACAATAAAACAAATAAAAAAACGTAGTGTAAGTAGTGAAATGTGGTCCGATTTGCCAAATGGAGGATGAGGTAGAGCTTTGAATCCATGTTGGAAAGGGGAATAAACATGGTCCAGTGTTTTTTTACCGTGCTGCTGGTATCTCAGCTAGTGTCTCAGCGTACCCCTCTTTTCTACCCCTTTTCCTCCTGATCCCTGACATTCCTGCAGTGTGTCTAAATGTTATAATATGAGGGTTTATGGTCTAACCTTGGAGTTGTGTGTATCTCTTCAGGCCAACACTGCCCCCTACTGCCTCTTCCTGGCAACAGCAGGTACAGGAGGAGCAGTGAGGAGGTGCACGACATGATAACCTACCCACTGCTACACCATAAGACCTCCTCTTCCTCCTCCTACATGGACCATCCCGCCTCCAGCTCAGTGGCCATGGTGAGCGGCCTCCATCCTGCAAAGATGAACTGCAGCCACATCTTCAACATCTTCTGTCTTTACGGCAACGTGGAGAAGGTGTGTGAGATTGGGCTCATATTTTGGAATAAACAGGAAAAGATGTAATTGTGTCACCTGTCAAAAATGTGGGAGAAATAATCTTAAATCCTGACCTGATTGGTTGTGTTTGCAGGTGAAGTTCATGAAGAGTGTTGCTGGCACGGCGTTGGTGGAGATGGGGGATGAGTACGCTGTGGATCGAGCTGTGACTCACCTCAACACCATCAAAGTGTTTGGCAAAAAACTCAATGTCTGGTGAGTCCTGATATCTTAATGCATGCTGACCAAAATGACATGACATAAGCTGTAAATATTGTTGTTCTGCAGAGGATGAATCTTACTGATTCTAACAACCTGCTGACCTTTCTTTTTGCTTGCAACCATCAGAACAAAATGTCACTGAAATAGAAGTAGACAGAATTTAATATGATTTTATAATAGTGATAGCAAACTATGAGAACAGGATAATCAATACATATCTGTACCTGTAATATTTGTTATGTTTTTCTATACAGTATATGTAATCATGAGCCCAAAGTATCACTAAAATATGAAAAAATAATCAACAGATTGAATAGATTTTGATTATCTTCTTCTAATAGTTTGCTGTCACGATAACAAAGTCATAGTAATGTGTATATATTTTGTTTTGCTCTTTAACAACTGGAATATTACTACCACCAACTGTTTATAAATTATACTAAAACAAGCATTCAGTCTTGTTTTTATTCAAATCTTCTGGTAATTTCGTACAACTTTTTCCTACTTTTGGTTTTGCATGTTTTTGTTTATACTGTCTCCTTCCATCTTTTCTCCCCCCTTCTCCTCTCAGTGTGTCCAAGCAGCAGGCGGTGATTCCCAGTCAGGTGTTTGAGCTGACGGACGGCAGCAGCAGCTATCAGGACTTCAGTCTGACCAGAAACAACCGCTTCAGCAGCTCACAGAGCAGCAGGAACATCATCCAGCCGCCTGCCGCCGTGCTGCACTTCTACAACGCCCCGCCCACCCTCACCCAACACCAGCTGCACAAGGTGAGGTCACACCTGCATGAGGGTTTTAATGTTTGACATGTTGGATGAGCTTTCTATGAAGGTGTAAACTGAGAAAAGTAAAGGGGCCCATGATTGAGCTCTGTGGGACACCTTCAGTAATTAGATGCAGTTTTAAGAGCACTTGTCATATTGAATACATTTGTTTGGAAGTTGAGATGTATTTCTTAGATATTAAGGATACTTCTCCACATCATATCCATTGTATGTTTAACTTCAACCATTTAAAACATCGAAACAGCAGCTTCGAATCATGACCTGCTAAATTCTTATTCCTTCTCAAGCAAATATGTATTTAAAGATGTTATACTGTGTTTTGTTTCTATAATAATGTGACAGATGTATAAAATAAGTCATGTCAAAATCACAGGATTTGTTGCGCAAGTACTTATTTCCCCTAAATTCTACATTACAGGTAGAAAGTGCAACACTAGTAAGACCTATACAAGTAGATCCACGATATAATGTAATCTTCCTTTGAAAGCAGAAAATAAAAAGCAGAAAGAATTTTTTTCATTAAAAACACTCTGACCTCTCTTCCCTTTTCTCATCTGCAGCTCTGTACTGAACACAACGTTCCCATCTTCACCAAGTTCAAGATCTTCGATGCAAAACGTGAGTTTGAGCAATCACACAACAGATGAGGAGCTGAAGCATACATCTTAATAATGTTTTATAGATAAACACAGGTATTCATGTAAAATAGAGATCTTTCAACTGAGACATATTTTCTTCTGTTCCAATTTGTCCTGCTTCCTCATTGTTTTTCCCTTCCTCCTCCTCCTCTTCTTCTTACTCCCAGCAGCCAGCTCCAAGACTCTATCTGGTCTGCTGGAGTTTGACAATAAAACTGAAGCTGTGGAAGCTCTGACCGTCCTCAACCATCATCAGATCAGAATACCAAGTAAGTTCTCGACTGACACATTCGGATTAAACAGTAGGATATGTTCTAGGCGTGGTGATCAATAAAACCAAGTTTACCAAAAACGTTTTATTACTCCATCACCTTGACAAACACTAAACAGTGTATCGGTCTGCTCAGCAAATTCCACCTCACTGACAACAGGAACGATCTGCAGTCACTGCTGTTCTTTGAGAAATCTTTTTTAAATTGTTCTTTTCTGTTCAGACAGAAAGAGAAGAGGCAGATTTCCTAAAATATCAAGTGTGGGTGTGATGATGCATTCAAAGAATCTCTATTATCTTCTTGACCTTGGAGTCACTGCAATGATATACTTAGTATGTTGACAACGAGTGAAATTATTGTATGTTAGCATGTTAGAATAAAAGTATTTGCATGCTAACATGTATTAGCATACTTTGCTGTATTTAGTAAATGAGTTTGCTCACACAAGCATTCATCTCGACGCACAGTTGGCCGTTGTTTTGAAGGATGAAGTGAACAATGTGTTTTACTTGGAGGGCACCCAGAGCACAGACCTCCATAGCCACAATGCCCTTTGTTGAATATACACAAAAGTGAATAATAATTTGTGCATCAGAAATACTGTGCGCTCCGATATTTAATGGGTTGTTTCTCGGCACCTGCTACAACCTTTCACCTTGTCTAAAAAAAAATCATTATCCAGCATACAAACAGACAACAAACAAAAACATAACCTCCACCAACAGTGAGAGTTCATATGATCAAAACATGGTTGACTGGTTGAAAAAAAAACAACATGTAATGAACTTTAGTTGTTGGCTGGACTCAGGAGGTGACGTCATCCAGCACCAAGCAGCACTACCTGCGTTCAGCACTAGATGTCAGGCTCAAACAGACCTGGTATAAAAACAAACAACAACAACAACAGGAAACAGAGGGAGGCAACCTCTATGCTGAAGGTTGAGCACGTTACATGATGTTTGCCTGTAAAATAGACTCATTGTGTTGATTGTATCTGACAAAAACCTTTCACACAGGCACAATGAGCAGTTTTTTCCTTAAAAACTATGTATAGACTTGTGCAGAAACAAACCCACCCAATCATCACCTTTGACCCACTAGACGTTTAAGGCTGTATCTGGATCTTCTCATTTCTTTACATTTGTGCTCAATATAGAATGTCGCTTTAAGATGCCTTGTCCTAAGCAACAATCTGTGTATTCAAAAAGCATTAACAAATGTAGAAGATACATATAGAGCACAATGGACAAACCGGTTACAAAGTGAATCTGGAGTTTTCTTTCACCGTTTGTCGAGCACCATAACACTTTTTGAGCCAGGAATAAGGGGCCAACTATGAACATGTTGTATATGGCAACAGAAAATCCCTTCTCAATGTGCTTTTAACAGTGTTTGTTTGTATTAATATGTATTTTTGTATACCTTCTCTCTCTCTCTCTAACCTACAGACAGCTCAAACCCCTTCACCCTGAAACTCTGCTTCTCCACCTCCTCCCATCTGTGAGCCAGAAACAAGATGGCCGCCACCGTTCAGCCGAGCACTCCTTGACGAATCAGAGAGGAAGTTTTATTATTTCGAAAAAGAAAAAAAAATGAGGGACAGAACATTTGAGATGTTGCTGTGAACTGTTTGAATGGTTGATATGTGTGTGTTTCTCATTCATTTGGGCAGGAAGTGATCTAGTTGTGACGATGCAGTTTTGAAAAAGAAAGCACCTTAATGACTGTGCAGTAAACTCATTGAGTAACAGTGTGATAAGCCTCCTTTGAAACATGAGTGCTGTACAGTAAGTCACCTGTAGAGAAAAAATGTTCTGCGTGGGCTATAATGTAAACAGACTTGTATGTCACTTTAACAGTTTGATTGAATCACAATCAAATCAATCAAATTACTTTATCATCCACAAACTGGCCCTTTCATACCATTAAGATTGTTATAAATAGATGAGTAAACATATTAATACTTAGTCACAGTGAACAAGCTTTTTAGACGGCGTTGTATTTGTTGTAGCAGGATGTTGAACAAAACTCAGGGAGGTATCAGTAAAAAGTGAAAATCCATCCGATATCAGAGCAACATTTGACAATCCTGAAATATTTTTAATATTTTTTAACATGTCATTTTGGTTTTGCACTGTTGTGTGTTTATTTTATTGAACTTAAAGTTATTTTATTAACTAGGTTTTGTTACTGGTATATCAGTGCATTTAAGACAAAATGAGCTCAACGATTATTTATAGTTTTTGTTTGATTTATTCAATTAAACTTCAGTGTTTATGTATTTTTTTATTTGTAGTAAAGGCAAAAGAAATGGAGGCCAAAAAAAACATTTGTTCAGGAAAGTGTGTTTTAATTGTTATTAACTGACATTGTTAGAGAGACTTGATTCTTGCTTTATTTTGTATTTTTTAGTTATCAGTGGAGATGTCAATAGACAAGAAAACACAACATTATTTATTGAATTTATGTTTACAGAAAAAATCCATTATAAAATCATTGTTTTATTTTTGGTTGCTTAAACTGTGAATTTTTAAGTAACACTACTTTTCGTGTATATACTTATTCGTTGCATTCGATTCTCATATAGATGCGGAGAACATGTGAAGTGTTATTACAGGTATAGTGAACTGTTTCTGCAACAAATAAAACACAATAATATCTGACATATTTAAACCTTTACAGTAAGTAGCTGGTGAACAAACACCGCTCCAATGTGATGATCATGTGTCTTCTGGATGTTTATCAGGTCAGATGTTTGATATGAAGTTAGCCACAACTACTTAATAAGTTTGTATTTTCAGCTGCAAGCAAGTTTCCTTTAAAGAAAAAAAGCAATTAATGCTGTTTTAAAACATGGTGCTGTGGTTTACCATGACAGCAATTAGTGTAAATGACGTGTGTTGGGGAAGGTTTTGGCCTCACATGGCTAACAGCTAGCATTACGCTAAAATGCAAAAACTGCATAACTGCTCAAAGCATTGACAGACTTACTGAAGCCAATTTAGTTTAACAACAATTTATTTGAATATAGGACCTTGAGGTCAATGCATAATAAGAATGACATGCTAAACATTCTAACAATGCAGCATGCTGTTAGGATGCTACCATGTTAGCATAAATCCCTTTGAACGTTGCTAACTACAGGAGTCCATTTCTTCTGCAGTCATCTGGGAAATGAGTTGTAAATGTAATTCTTCGACATTGTTAGTAGCACATACTCAATTTTGCGTAACATTATGGACTGACACCACTAAAGAGAAGGGAGACTTTATTTGTGTGTAATTTGGGGTAAACAGCCCCTTTAAAATATATTAAAGCACAGATTTGTAATGGTGAATGACGCCGTAAACAGAAATATGTTTGTCTTCGTGTATGATTTTAATGAAACAGAGAGACAATCACAAACTACTTGTCTGTATCTATTGATGTTGATCCTATTAAAAGTTGTTTATTTGTTGATCATCCAAGAGTCTGTAGCTGGTATTAATGTTTTCATCAATAATTCAGAGATTAAATAACTCCAGATCTAGATCCTAAGTGAAATTCCACCCTGCTCCACTTTGCACCAAAAGCATAGGAAATGTGCAGATGCAACACACTGCAAACTGCCTCATATGTCTCTGACTTTAATATAACTTTTAAAACAGGGTTCTTTTCTTCGTTTCAGCTTTAGCCTGAGACGCAACAGGCAGGTTGCAATAAAAATAAAAGTGTAAGTTGAATACTTACAAGTGTATTTCAACTGCAAATGTCTGCATGTCCAATAATTGCTGCTGTGCTTATTATCAGCCTGTTCTTTATAACAGCAGAATACAGACAGCAGAGAGCCAGTCTGAGCAGCCTGTCACCACATAACACTCAACAACACCAACAACCAGAGTGTAGTTTGATCGAACAACCTGCAGGGAACACAAAGGGAACAAGGTCAAAGTTGGAAACAGCAGCGTCCTCTACAGTGTGTCTGAAACAACTATAAATAATAGGACATGTTGCTGAAATGCCAGCATGCACAGGGTGAGAATGGATTCACTGAAACATTTTCCCACAGGAATCAGCTGACCGTCTCAACTCAAATCCATTTTCTACAGCTATATCACGAGATTTCAAAAACTATTTCTGACATTGAGGCTGAATTAGGTCTGGTTTGGGTTTTTTACATCAATTTAGATTCAGCAGAACTATTTCCTCTAAAAAATGTATTGACTGAAAGTTGTTTAGTGAACTATATTGTGTAGTATAGATTACATTAAAAAACACGTCAACTATAATATAATCATACTGTTGGATCAGTGTCAAGTGATGAAGCTGCATTACTTGACAATGCCCAACATAATTGATTTGAATGTCAATATATTTTTGATTTATGCACAAATTGCACCTTCTCCTATTTTGGTCACAGAACAACTGATTAATCTCTGTTAAAATGGCAGTGTGTTAGAAAATGGTGAGTTAAACATTAGTCTTATGTTTTATATTTCATAAGGTAAGAAACAATATTCCGATTTGCTAGGCTACTTAAGTAAAACAGTATGCACTTAAGCAAAAGTATGTCCTAGTAAATTGAACAAGTAGATATGTGCAATGTTAAAATGGAACGAATGACATGAGTGCATTGTCATGAACAAACCCAACCATGCTTACTCATTATGAAATGACCAAAAATAATGCATGTAGGCCTACTGATCATTACATTTAAACATTATTTTGACATCGTTTTTTTGGACGATCTATTATCTACTCTGACCTTAGACTGATTCCCCCCCCCCCACCCCAACCCCCAATTAAATTACTTGAAAGTGTATGTGTTGAATACCATTTCAAAATCTTCTGACCCCCTGTGTCCTAACCACTTTTCAACACAGAGGGACGCCCTTGAGTACAAGTACCTCGCATGAGTGTACTTACTCAGTAGCCTACTTGAGTAAACGAACTGACAGGGGGCGGGGCTTCGGCTCTGTATTTAGGACCCCTCCACAGCTTCAAATACTGTGACGTCAGCGCAGTCTGCTGCTATCAGCGGGTCAAAGAAAGATGGCGGCGGAGGAGAACAGGTTGAAGCAGCGGAATCACAAAAACAGCATCTTCAAAGAAGGTAAATTCATATCGACAGTTAACAAAAATGATGATAGCGACAGGATAGATGACAGCAAACGTGGTCTATAAAGCCGTGTGTTTTTGTACACGGTTATGAAATGACACTGCAGGTTCGCCTCGTCGAATAATCGCATCTCATCCCGCTGGAATTAACGCGTTTTTACTGTTAAAATGTCACTCAAAACATGGCACTCCCACTATTGACAGTGACCATGAAGAGTGCCTGGAGCGACTCCGACTCATTCCCGCTATGCACTTGTGTATTATCGTGGAAAAGCCTGTTTTGTTAAGCCGTCCAGCTGTCCTCACCTTCACCTGAATGTGTTTGTTGTTAGCGGACAAGCTAACATAGCTGCTAGCCTATTCGAGCCACTTCTTCATTGTTCTGATGTTACCATGGTTGTTACTAATAACGGTCGGTTAACGGCTGTTAGCTTCGGTTAACAACCCTAGTTACAGAGGTGGGAAGTACCTAAGGACATTTACTCAAGTACTGTGCTTAAGTGCAATTTTAAGATGCTTGGACATTTCCACGTTGTGCTTTTACTCCACTACATTTATTTAATACCTTTTTTAGTAACCTTGCAGTTGTGGATTAATGATGTGAAATATAATCAAGTGTTAAATCAGACTTTAGTTCCACCTGGAGTAAATTCACAAGCTACCCTGCAGTATACAAAGTCATTCAAACTAGCTGCACCTTTACGAGCTTTGTTAACGCTTTACTGATCAATCATTATAACACATATCATATATATTATTCTGAAATGGACCATTCTGCACAATGACTACTTTTACTTTTGGTACTTTAAGTATATTTTGATGCATGTACTTGTACTTTTATTTGACTAACATTTTGATTGCTGGACCTTTACTTGTTACAGAGTATTCCTACACTCTGGTTCTCTGATCGGAGTACTTCTCCCACCTCTGAGCTCCTGTTCCCCCCTGTAGTTACTACCATAAAGAAGCTGATTTGAGTTGCCCTGTTATCTGGGATAGGATAGTGCACTTTGCAAATGCATAACGGGGTGGTTTAACACAACAGGCTTACACAATTGGCTATGAGCTTCTCCTGCAGTCAACTTTACACTGAATTCTGTTTATAAATCCACCAGGTAAGCCACTTTCCTCTCCTTTTTGGCAAGGATTAATAATGCTAGCCTTTTCCCCCTCAACATTATACAAGATCTGTGGTGGAAAGTAATTAAGTGCATGTACTCAAGTACTGTTAAGTACACATTTGAGGTACTTTACTCTACTCTAGTATTTTAGTTTTTGACTTCTTCTCTACTACATTTTGGAAGCAAATACTGTACTCCTTAATCCACAACATTTATTTTACAGATGTATTTACTAGTTACTTAAATACATTCAGATCTTGACTAAAGATAATAAGGAAAAACTATGATTTTAAAACGGTTTTTTTGGTATAGATTAAACCATCCAACATTATATTTGAGTAACTAAAACGAATGATTTGGAAGCTATTTTGCTAATAAAGATTCTTGTTCAAATATTTTCACAGTTCCAGCTTCTTAAACATGAAGATATTTTTACTACTAATACTTCGAGTACATGTTATTAATCAGACTTAAATACTTTGACTTGAGTACCATTCTCAATGCTGCAATTTTACTTAATGTGTGGTATTGGTACTTCTACTAAAGTTAAGAATCTGTTCAAGATTGGGTGCTTTTTTTTGTGCTATGTAATATCATCTAGCATGGTGTTTAGTGAAGAAACATATTGACGTTAAATATATCATTGTATTAATGGACTCTTGTATGTAACATCGGGACTGTTTGCGGCACTGTGACAGCCCGGTTGTAAGGTAAATTATTTGGGACAGGTGAACTCTCGTAAACTGCTAGACGTCCAGCCAACTTTGCCTTATTTTTTCCGCACTTTTACTAAAACACCTCCAGTTAACTGTTCATTAATCATTTCTGAGACTGGCTTATCTTTATCATAACTCACTGGTAATATTCCAAGGCTGCTTGTGGTTTCTCTCTGATAACCAGGTACCTGCTCTGAAGTCTAAATATTATCCACTGTCAAGTTTGAACTGTATTACAGTCAATATTGGACTATGTTTGACTGGGTCCCAAAAGCTGTTTATCAAATGTAAATGAACTTTTACATATTATATTTATATCATTGTATACAAAGAGCGTGTGTCGCCTGTTTCTTTAACTGCAAAAACTCTGTTGACCTTGTGTGTGGAGAACTGCACACTGTGTGCTAAGACCCAAGTGGGGGAAACATTGAGCCATCTACCATGTGACGTGTATACATAGTTGTACTGGTGGGGTTATCCTCTTATTCCAGATTCCCTTTTTGAGCTAAGTCTTCGGTTTCCCAAACAGCACAATGAAATACTTGAGGCTTAAGACTTGTTATTGTAGATCTCTGATAAGGAAATGGCCTTTTCAATAAAGTAGGTTACCTTCAAACTAGCAGCAGTGAATGGTGTATAATATATTTTCTTACACAAGGATAGCTAGCAGTGGGACTGGTTGTCAGATACAGTTTAGGGGTGACCTGACAACTTTTATTCAATAAGAAGAGTCAGTTATGTGTCTGAAACTGTTCTTGGATAGTTTTGCCTAGGTGAAAGTTGTGATAAATGTTGCTTAGTGTGCGCTTTAACATGTAATCATTTAGTTATGTATACCCTACATACTACTTATGACTGACTCACGTGTGTAACAAAAATCCCCAGGGCAGTAAGTCAGCAGTTCTGGCAGAGTATGCTGTATCTTGTGAATGCAGCCAGACCAGTCTGTATTCTGAACACTCCCCACACTTTAATGACGGACATTTCCGCATAACTCTCTGACCACGTTCCTCTGCTGATCTGACAGGGGGGTTAATGATGATCATAGGGGACATAATCTGCTATGAGGAAGTTTAAAATGATGAAATGACCCGTCTGATTAGCAGGAACATTCATTCCTGTGGTGTGTTGTTATGTAAGAGGTCTCTTAAGGAGGCAGAAGGTTGAAGATGAGCAGATGATCCATCCAATTTAAGTTGCTACTCAAAAGCCAGCCACATATTTGCTCCTCTCAATGTTCACGCTGGAGCTGCCACAATTATTTGGTTAGTTGATTGACAGAAAAATAGTCGGCAACTAATTAATTTGTAAAGTCATTTCCCTTTTTTTTTTTTACTGAATATCTTTGGGTTTTGGAAAGATGCAACAAGACATCTTGGACTTCGAGTAAACTGTAAAGCACACATTTCAAATTGTTCTGAATATCTACAGAAATATCTGTCACCTTTTTCTCATTGTAAAATGACTATCTGATAAATACATTGTTTGGTAGTGTACACAATACATTAACAGTATTTATAAAAAAAAGTAATCTTTGAATTCATCGCTGTTCAAGGCTTCGTCTTCTAATTTAATAGTTTCACCTGACCAACTGTACAACCAATATTCCGTTTTCAATAAATAAACCAGAGACAATGTTCACATCTTTGCACAGGAGAAGTTAGAACAAGATCATATTTGTCATTGATGGATAACTTTCTTGTTTCAGCTTCACACTGTAGAAGTATTTCCCCCCCTCAGGCAGCTCATGTCCTGTACAGAGAGAACAGTAGGAGACAGAGTTTACCGGATCACTGGTCTTTAAAGCACACATCATTGTCAGTAAAAACATCCCCAAAACTGTTTTATGTCGACCTGCAAACTGTTTACGTCTTCCCCGGGATGTGGTAACTGTGCATGTTACCCAGCGAGCTGTCTGCTGGATGTGTCGGAGGCGGATCATCATCGTGGCTGTTGTGTTGCTGCCTGCAGAGCGCTCACATGGCCCAACAGCTCCACACTGACCTGAATGAAGGCTCCTCTTCCCATGAGGCCGCAGGCTGCTCAGTTAGCTGTGTAATCACAAGACAGTGTCTCAATAAGAGCTGCCACATAATCACAAGGTCAACAGTCATTTTTCAGCATTGAAAACTTTGCATTTAGGAACTCAAAGTGATATCGACACGTGATTTATATTGGCAAATTAAAGCTTTAATATCGTCAACATCCAATAATGAATATTCCCTCCCATCTGACACACCAATAAGAAGATGCATTTGCGCACTTGACCTGACGTCTCAGATGGCAAAGACACTTTCTGCAATGATTGCTCAGCGTCATTTGAGGACGAGACAAATTGCGTTTCCTCACCATACAGATTTCACTACAGAGATGACATTGTTTTGCAACTTGTGAAATGGGTCAAATTCCCCTGGTTGGGCCTATTTTAAGCAGCGACACTGTGACCGCACCATCCAGGCTTTTGAAAGTAGGGTGAATATTTCACTTTGTTAGAACATTTTGCTTAAAAATAAATATGGCACCTTTTTACGTTTAACCTTCGTTGAAGTGGCCTTATTATTTTGAGCTGTGTACATTTTGGAAAGCATTGTGTTTGGTCTCCCAGTGGGCCATCATGATAACAATATGCATAGCATCATGCTAATGTAGTTGGTGTAATTTTAATGCCACTACAGTATATGAAATATGTCTGGGTATTGGCAAGTATACAGTGTCATACATCCTTAGTTGCAGTATTTACACACATCGTTACTTGCATCATCTGATTTTACAGGAAGAGATGACAAAATGCTCAATTCTGACCTTCGTTTGTTTGGCAAAAAGCATCCAAAATGAGTCTCATATGTCTCCCTGTCTCCTCCAGATGGCTGTAGATCAGTGAAGTGTAAACGCTGCCATACAAGGAGAGCTGAAGGCTTTACTAGTCCCAGGTTGAGACTGACTCTAGAACAACACTGGCTGATGGCTGTGTCTTTACTGTAAACCTGCAGCCAGCTGTGCCATCCTATAATGGCAGCAATTCCTCCCAGCATTCCTCTTGGCTGAGCTCCTGTGAAGCTGCACTAACTAGAGGAGGTCGGGAAAGTTTTTCCTTCTAGAAGCCGCTGTCGCTTCAGAGTTTATTGATTCCTGTGAGGAAACTGCCATCAGGACTGTAGTCAGACAGCAGATGAGAGAAAATCACATCTATTCTAAAGCGCCACCACTTTCTTTAGTGTTCAGTTTAAGCTGATAACACAATCCAGGTGTCAATGACATGTGTTTCTTTCTGTTGTCATCTCACTTTAGTTACATTTGAGTTGAGGTAAGGAGAACGCTGACATTTCAAATACAGATGTGGTGTTTTTCCAGATTGAAAAAACCCCACAGCAACAATGAATGCCCAAAGCTCGGCTGTAGGAACTTGCATTTCATCATCCCCATTGAGAAGGGTTAGTTGTGATTCTTGTAGTCAGTCAGACATTAAACACTGCTTTCCCTCTCAGGTGACCGCGGTTTTAAATCTGACACGTCCCCGATGAGGTGTGAGGAGGAGGAGGCCGACCTGCTGAAGGGGGACGAGCCGGACGTAGCCAGGCCGGTGCAGATCGTGGTTGCGGACGAGGAGGAGCACTCGTTCTCGCTGCAGGAGGAGGCGCTGGAGCGGCTGCTGCTGAAGGAGGAGGTGCAGGACCTCAACGTGGTCGTGGTCTCCGTGGCCGGAGCGTTCCGCAAGGGGAAGTCCTTCCTGCTGGACTTCATGCTGCGCTACATGTACACACAGGTACACTATCCACTGAACTCTGCTGAAACGTGTCTCTGCAGAGGCTTATCGGCTGTCTCAATATATTTATTAATGGGGCCCTATTATTTTTATTTTGTGCCTTTACTATGACATGTTTACATAGAAAAAGCATAATAATTTATAAATATATTTTTAAGTGAGATTTGAAATCCACCCCTTACTGGGTACTATGTACATTACTTGGCACATCACAGCTTTTTGCAGTAACTAAACTACGCTGCACTGACTTTAACTTGAATCTAATCTTAGTGGCATGATTTACACTCCTGACCTCAGAGTTCATTTAACTCGTATAAAGTGTATTCTACATAAACAGCAGTTTGACAAAACTTTCATTGAAGTGCTATCGGCGTTTCTGCCAGGGGGGCGTCTTGCCGTCATTTGACGCCCTTAATCCGCTCGGAACGCCCTGAACCCGAGCCGAGGGCGTCCAAAAAAATAGTGGAGCACGCGCCTGAACTGCGAGCGCCGGAGCCTCGCAGCGGCGAAACTGAGGCTCCGTGGTAAACTGTGGTAACATGAAGAGCCGGCTCTTCTTAGTGAGCCGAGCCAAATGATTCGGCTCACTAAAAAGAGCTGGACTTCCCATCACTAATACGTAAAGGGACGGCTCAATTCAAAATTCAAGTCACGTGACGGCACAATTCAAAATTCAAGTCACGTGACGTCTCACAACCCCCGCCTCTCCCCCGCTCTCGGGGTGGACGCCCTCTCAGCCCTGGTCTGGCGGAAACACTGAGTACTATGGATGACTTCATAGCCGTCATTGAGCTGGTGTAGCAACATATGAAACATCATGCCTACTGAGCAAAGTACAGTTCAAATCTCTTGAAACATATATTTTCTTTTAATACTATATTTAGAGTTTGTAACTTTAAAAGAAAAGTAATGCTGCCAGACGATTATGTCTTCTGAAAAAAAGATTTCGCAGTAGTTGGGACGGTAGAGAGATGGACTTCCAAGTCTGAAATGAAAGTTTCTCAGCGGCCGCAATTTCCAAGTGCAGAGCAATCTGTGTGACATATGGCAGAATAAAAGTCTCTGCAGCGCATTAAACATTGCCAGGTAATTTTCCTAAATATCTGTGGAATTCAGACCTCCTCAAAAATTGCAATCCAAAAGTTATATAATATGAGGCAAAACTTATTTTTAGTATTTGTGATTCTTCAGCAGAGCCGTCACATTTAGGGGATTTAACGGTTTTGTTATTGAGTGATGCTTCAACTTCTGAAATGACCTGTAGCGTTACTGTGGAAACGATCCCACCTCGAGGTGCTAGTGTATATACTTCTCCCAAACATTTGTCTGGTTTCTTTAGTGCTTTATAGAATCATAAAGGTCTAAAAGGTTGCAGGTACCCATCTGATTATTATTTCACAGACTGATGCCACCCAGACTGTGTTGTTTGTCTGCAGTGTTTCAGGTACTACAAAAACATGGCATTATCTTGAAAGTCAGGTGTTTTCAGTGTTAATTATACTTATTTGCCACATTTAGGTTTTAATTGGAAGTGGTAGAAGTTTGTCACAGCAAAATGAAATAATATTCACAATGTTAAACTGTAAAACACTGGATAACAATAGTCATTCTTCCATTGATGGAAACAAACTTCCTTTAAAGGGGACCTATCTTGCAAAATGCACTTTTTGATGTCTTTTATACATAAACATGTCCCCGGTGTGTCAGGGAACTCACGCAGCGTCAGAAAATAAAACCCTCTCTTTTTTTCCTCCGTACCCACATCTTTTAAAAACGGGGGGTACAACGAGCGGATACAGATTTGCTGCCGATATGAAGTCATTTTGGATGGTGGACCCACAGAGAGTTGCTATCAGAAACAATGCCTGACGTGTTTTGGACGTAATATGGTCTTTGTTTACATTAGCAAGCATCGCTAACACTCAGAGCTAACCTGTAGAGCACTTGTGTTTAAAAAGCAGGAAATAAAAAAAGGAACTCACCTTGTGATAAACCTGCAAGAGAGAAAAAGCATTTGAGCTCCATACTGTTTCAGAAATAATCCTTGATGTGGTTTAGAACAGGATGGCGTTTTATCACAGCAGAATTGAACTTTATCTCCGGTAGGATTCTGATCAGGCATTAGCTCCGCCTCCTCTTTTTTTTTTTTTTTTTCAAGCTAAGGACCCAAAATCCGTGTTTCTCTAACAGGGCTGGAATAGAGCGGTATGACGGATGTCTAAAATGCATGATCTGTTTGTATTTTGAGCAAAACAAATCAGACATGTTTTTATATCTTTGTATATATCTGAGACTCATAATATATGCCTTTTTAAAATAGCGTGATAGGTGCACTTTAAGCTATTTAAAAGCCTGCAGCAGGAATCCACTCCCTTTACCACAATTCAGTTTGAAAGTGTGACCGGGTTCAAAGGAAACTTGAGTGTACGTTTTGATCTGTGACTTGACCTTTGGCCGGGTTAATCTACGTTAAGCAGTGAGGAACATTCTGGAGGGTTTCACGATGCTGTAAAGAGGATTTTAGGGCAGACACAATGCCGGCTCTGTGGCTGGGCCCCTGCAGAGCTCGCTGCTGCTTATTCCACACATAAAAGCCATCTTTATGCTTTGAATAAGCCCTGCACGCACGTCGGGTTATAGTAGGGCTGCTGTTTCACACACCTCCTGCACAGGACTCAAAGAGGGAGAAAATGGGTTTGGATCATACAGAAGCTTTTTCATGTTTAAGCTGAGAATGTATACCATGATGTGTTGAATTCAGCATCACTGAGATTGAAGTATCTTGGTGTGAATTTGCTGTAATGTTACTGAACTAAAATAACCGTTTATCCTTTAAAGAAATGTTACATCAATGTAAGCTCATCTAAAAACAATAAGAATTATCTTTGTCATAACAACTGATCTTATTAGCTGGTGCATTTTCAGCACACCACTCTTTAACATAGAGGATTTCAAGCAGCTCTGGTTTCAAACTGATTGTTTCCTGTGGTTAAAAACAAGTTGTGTTTCTCGCCACATCCTCGAAGTAAATGTTCATCTATCAAATGAGGTCAATAACACACTTTCCTCATGTGACTTTTGGCAAGAATGTGTATCTAATATCAAAGTGGAGCAGGATCACTGATGTCCTCTCATCTCCTCTTGTCTCTGTGCAGTCGGAGTCGTGGGTCGGCACCGAGGAGGAGCCTCTGACCGGTTTCTCCTGGCGGGGGGGCTGCGAGCGGGAGACCACCGGCATCCTGGCCTGGAGCGAGGTGTTCGTGGTGAAGAAACCAGACGGCTGCAAGGTCAGTCAGTCAGCAGGCAGACAACCAGCCAGCATCTTCTTAACCTTTTTAAATCAGGGGTGTCCAAACTTTTTTCACCGAGGGCCACATACAGACAAATATACGAAGGGCTGGGCCACTCACTAGAGGAGAGGTATTTTGCCTCATATGCTAAATTCAATCAAATGTAGGTAAATTAAGCTTGATACTTGAAAATGCTGTTAGAAACACAACAGCCTTCATCACAGCTCTCTATAGGATTTCATTGATTTAGTTTGCAGCTCATGCCTTAAAACAGAAGCTTCAGATTGCTTATAAAAATATGTGTTATGGAAAAAAGTGATTGGGCTTTTTATATCAACTTAGATTAGTTTGAAAATTTAAATTGAATTTATTTGAAAAGTGGGCACACATGAATACTGTGATATATTTAATTAGTACAATATATGAAAAGCACAAGTTTATTTTGTGGGCCATATTTTATTAAACGATTTGAATTAGCTGAGTTTCAAAATGGGCCGCATTTTGCCCCCGGGCCATAGTTTGGACACCCCTGCTTTAAATCCTCCTATTAAAAACATGTTTAAGTTTTCTTCAGTGTTGTGTGCTTTCATCCCAACTAATTGTGATGTTGTTGCAGGTCGCAGTTTTACTAATCGACACACAGGGGGCGTTTGACAGCCAGTCCACCATCAAAGACTGTGCCACACTGTTCGCTCTCAGCACCATGACCAGCTCTGTGATGGTCAGCCGCATCTCATTGCTCCAACTGTTTGTTTTTTTAAGATTAGTCCTGTGTTTGTAAAGTAATTAACGTCTTGGTGTGATCGCATCAGCTGACTAACCGGTTGAGGTGTTTGTTTGTTTTTAGGTGTACAACCTGTCCCAGAATGTCCAGGAGGACGACCTCCAGCACCTCCAGGTCAGTGATCAGCCTGCAGACAGTTTTACTAAAGACAAATATTACATTTGAAAGATTAAACATTTCAGAGCACCTTTTTCGGGGGGGGGGGGGGGTTTCTGAGTGATTGAGACTGCCAGACAGCTTTCCTTGTGTTTGATCTGCAGAAACTTCTGTCAATTTGCACCATTTGACCATTGTGATGACAAAGCAACGAACCCCCAAAATGCTTCCTAGTCAAATTAGCTACCCACTGCTCCTAAAACTAGGATGGGTGAAATGCGGAGTCTACATTTTACGCAGTGTGCATTGCCGGTACATGTGTTTCTTTAAAAATAAGTCAAGCTGAACCTAGGGCTGATCAATTAATCGTATTTTAATCGCAATTACGATTTTGGCCTGCAACAATTATGAAAACATAATCGAAATAAAACGATTATTTTTTTATTGGTTTTTCAGTTGAATTATACTTAAAGTTCAGGGTAATCAACTGTTCAAATATTTTTACCCTCCATTAACCATTTACGTTGGTTTTAATCCGTCAGATTTACAGCAGCATTTCTATTAAAGCTCTTAATTCTTGTGAGTGAGGATCTCCATATCAGGCGCTCTGTGGTGCATTCAGGTCACGAATCGCTGTGAACTAAACCCAGGCGCCTTATGAGGCTGAAAGCAGCTCCAACTGAAAGTCTCTCTGAGGAAAACTTTCTTCCATCTTTGGTGCCAACTGCTCATCACTGCACTTCATAGATCAGCTGTCAATCAAACTGTAAAGATGGGTCTTTTTAATTGTTCTATTATTGCAATTAAGTTTGAATAATGCCCACATGGTCCTGCACACCTCTTCATTAAATGTAATCAGCTGAAATGAGGCAACCAACCTCAATCAATTCACACAAAAAATCTCCTGCTGCAGCAGGAAAATATTATTTTAACGGGGTCCTTTAGAGCAGCGAATGGGAAAGCTTTCATGGACCGGATAATCAGATATGCACTCATTTGTTCCAACACTAATTGAGCCTAATGACTGTGTTGTGATGTCTTCTCTCCTCAGCTCTTCACTGAGTACGGGCGGCTGGCCATGGAGGAAGTTTATGAGAAACCATTTCAGGTGTGATCTGCTAACCACCCCTACTGTCTTCACAATTATATATAGTTTGATTTTTAGAGACTTTGTTTACGGTCTAAGATATAAACAACATTTGGACTAAATCATCTAACGACTAAATGAGACTTTTGTAATGACTGGAATTCCGCTCAGTTTAAAACGTTGCCTTAGCTTCATTATTGATAGTTAAAAATATCCTTTTAAGCGGGGGCATGGGGCTTTTTTTTTCTTTCGCGAAACTGTGTCTCAGGGCTTCTTAACATTTATGAAACTATTAATGTTCCATACCCACTTAACGGGAAGAAACTCAGCTACCTGACGATACGAACCATTTTTAGTCTCACAAGAAGCATCCAAATGAGCCCTGAGCGAAAAAATGCTATCGCACTTAGCACAGAACTCACAGCTTAAATACCCTTATTACTTATCGTATCTGCAAAAACAAGATATCGATTAGCAAGCTGAGATTCCACAGATTCTACAGGTATTAGTATCATCACTGAGCGATCCGAACTCGCGACAGGGGAAGCGAAAACAGACATCACAACACGTAGCTTCACGGAGGAAGCATCTTACCTTTAGCTGTTCTGATCAAGTCGTGTTCAATGGCATCAAAACGATAAAAACCCTGCTGAAGGTTAATCCAGTGTGTCTGTGTCACTTTGAAATGATTTCTGATAATCCATCATCATATTTACTAGTTTGAGCCTAGGTTTCATTTTTCAGAGCATAACATTGCGTTCGACTGCGTGCGCATAGCTCTCACTTGTCAATGGTAACGTGTGTATGTGGAACTTCCCCTTCAATTCTATTGGCTCTAACGGTTAAAAAGAGGTGTCAATCACCAAAATCGACCAATGGGTTCCAGAGAAACGGCAAATCCACCCAAATGACCCCAGAAGTGTTTTTTTTTGTGCTAAACCTCTCTAAAAAGGTCAAATGTCACTTGTTTTGCATCAATCTTGATACAGGGTACTTATTATGTTATAGTTTGGATTCCTAAAGCTTTTAGTCTACTATCCCATCATTCAAGGGTGGTTTTCACTATAAGTAATGTTTTTTTTTTTTTTGGACGGACACTATAATTTACATTTTTTTACTATGTTCAATCTGAATTTACTTTACAATAAAACAATTATATATTGATTCTGACTTTTCTACATCCAACTCACAGGTGTAACCTTGCTTTGAGAAAAAAGATTATTAATTTACCCCTTTTAGAAGTGAAGTTATGGTAATTTGTTCTGGGAATGTCATTTTGGGGCTTAACAGGTTAACTTGTCCCACAGAGATGGATAAATAAGATGATTTTGTAATACCTGGAAATAATCATTAATAACATTTGAAATGTGTAATCAATAAACCTGAATTTGTCCGTCTGTTCAGAGTCTGATGTTCCTGATCAGAGACTGGAGTTATCCATACGAGCATCCGTACGGCCTGGAGGGAGGACGGAGCTTCCTGGAGAAGCGTCTGCAGGTCAGTGACAGCAGCCAGGCAGAAGTCTCTGGTTTAAAAAAAGAGTTGATCGTACAAGTATTGAGATCTCAACCAGAAAATATCTGACAAGAAAAGTAAGCAGCATCTTTGTCTCGGGGAAACTTAATGCCAGGTTTATAAGGCCCTGATCACAATGTTGAATTGAGTCCTTGGTCATCTTGTAGTCAAACTGCTGGTCAAACAAAGAAATGTATTCACTTGGATGGCCAATGTCTGCAGCAAGATAACTGGCACTGCACATCACATTCTGCAGGATCTTTACATCCATCAGAATCATTTCTCACTGTTCCCATCTTTAATGAACCGTTTCTGGTACCTTCCTCAGACTTGGGCTAGCTAAAACCTGTACATTCAAACACTCCTTTAACCCTTAGATGCACGAGTGACTGGACCCTACACTCTTCCATAAGTGGGTCAAAAAGGACCCGTATTAGAATAATGTGTTTTTATGCCATTTTTGTCATTTTGGTTAAGAAAAATCTCTTGTATAATATTTAGTATAATATTTTGGTTCACACTAGAAATATTTTATATTTAATTTTACATTTTGAAAAAAAAACGTTTTCCCATAGGATTCCATAGAAAATGCATGCGGGTCATTTTTGACCCACTTATGGAAGCTTGGGGTAGTAATACAAAAACTACAATTTCTTAAAATGTAAATTAAAAATGTGAATGGCATGATATCCAAAACATGTTTTTTGAGGAATAGCTGGAATATGAAATGATACAAAAATGTAATTACAAAGATACTTCAAGAAAACCACCTCACCGGGTCAAAAAAGACCCACTTATGCCTCTAAGGGTTAACCATTTCCCTCTTAAGTCTAGGAGGAAAAAGCTATTTTCATAACCGTTCATTTGTACCCTGTGTTCTCGGTTTCCTCATCGTTTTTTCCCCCATTTCTGCATAACCTTGTCCCCCCGCTAAGGAGAAATAAAGCAAGAAATGTATGCGTTATCGTCTGTGTTCAGGTGAAGCAGAACCAACACGAGGAGCTGCAGAACGTCAGGAAACACATCCACTCCTGCTTCTCCAACATCGGCTGCTTCCTGCTGCCTCATCCCGGCCTCAAGGTCGCCACCAACCCTCACTTCGACGGTCGGCTCAGAGGTAACGTCCACGGGCTCAGCAGCTCCTCAAACAGCGTGAACAGTCAGGTTTTAATGACGTGTGTTTGGTGTGTGTGTCGTGTCAGATATCGATGATGAGTTTAAGAAGGAGCTGGTGAACCTCGTCCCCACGCTGCTCTCTCCAGAGAACCTGGTGGAGAAGGAGATCGGAGGAGTCAAGATCACCTGCAGAGACCTGTTGCAATACTTCAAAGTGAGTTCATATTCCATCTGCCCATCATGGCCTTTCATTGGTTTACTGTCAGGAGGAGGAATTACTTTTTTACCAAATTACAGAGGGGGGATATTTATTTGTTTAGGTCCATGATGTAAAAATGCATTTAAAATGTCCCAAACGAGAAAGCTTCTCAGTTTTAGGGGACAGAATGATATTGTTTTCATTCAAATTAAAGCATATCTTTTTCCCCCCTCTATCTTCCCATTTTAAAATCCTGTTAGAAAGTTTGGGGTTTTGTGAATCCCCTGCTGTCGTTTTTAGTGAATTAATTGTTATAGTTTTAAGCGTTCAGAAAGAAAATGTCAAGTGTGCTCCTGATTATCCTCGTTTCTCACCTACTCTTATGATTCTGTGTTTCAGGCTTACATGAAGATCTATCAGGGAGAGGAGCTTCCTCACCCCAAGTCCATGCTGCAGGTCAGCTCTGCTCAGACACATTATCATTAATGTAATGTTACTGTGAAACAGCGCCACCTGCTGGACTGTTCAAATCATGATATTTAATCCAAAAACCAGATTTTTAACAGTACTGAATAATCAGCTAATATGAATAGTTTCCTTTTCACTGTAGAAAAAACATTTTGAATGGTTCAGATGTTGATGTAATAATAATAATAATTTTTATAGTGCTTTTCCTGGTGCTCAAAGATGCTTTATTTATGAATGGTTAACTTAAATATTATTATATTTATAAATGGTGTAACATATCCTGTGTCTGCCGTAAATCTTAACTATCAGATCCGGCTGGAGCAGATCTTCGACTCGTAAATAGGACTCTGTTGATTGGTCATGTGTTGACTCAAATTCGACATCTTTAACCTGTTTTGTCATTTGTTACCTAGGCAACAGCTGAAGCTAATAACCTTGCAGCTGTAGCAGGAGCCAAAGGCTTGTACAACAAAGGCATGGAGCAGGTAACGCACCACAAACCTGTCGTTACTGGACATTACAGATCCAGGTTTTGGTCAATAAAGTAGATCCAATGAGCCTGTCCTCTGCACAGGTCTGCGGCGGAGACAAACCCTACATCAACCCGGCGGAGCTGGAGCGCCGGCACCTGGAGTTCAGGCAGGCGTCGGTGAAACACTTCCGCGGCGTTAAGAAAATGGGCGGCGAGGAATTCTGCCGGCGCTACCAGGAGCAGCTGGAGGCGGAGCTGGACCAGACGTACAGCAACTTCAACAAGCACAACGACGGCAAGAACATCTTCTTCGCCGCGCGGACCCCCGCCACGCTGTTCGCCGTCATGTTCGTGATGTACGTGGTGTCGATGGTCACGGGCTTCGTGGGCATCAACTCCGTGGCAACGCTGTGTAACCTGCTGATGGGCGTCGCTCTGACGGCACTCTGCGTCTGGGCGTACGTGAAATACTCCGGAGAGTTCCGTGAGGTGGGAGGAGTCATCGACCAGGTGGCTGAAACCCTCTGGGAACAGGTGAGAGGACGATCAATATTCATTTTATTTATTTTATTTATTTTATTTATTTTATTTATTTTATTTATTTTATTTATTTTATTTATTTTATTTATTTTATTTATTTTATTTTATATTTTTTAAACTGAAACGAGCAATAAAACCAACGCACTCATGAAGCCAATTAGTTGAAAGACAATATCTTGTAGGGTAGTTTTTAATACTTTGTTGGTACCACTTGTTCTTGTTTATCCGCTTTAATTTGAGACATTAAAAAGTGTATTGTATGTGATGGACGTGTTCTTTAACATACTAATAAGTGAGTCAGTTATCATTTGGAGTTAAAGTACAGACATTTAAATATTACGCTTAACCCTGAATTAAAATAAATATTTGAATAAAATGACATTGTGTAAAACAACTCTTTAGTTTTTCCTCAAACGTTTAACTTGTCAAGATTTCTGTCATCTGTCGCTTTCTTTTTAACCTTTCTCTTCCTCCTTCCACTTTATTTTGTGTCTTAATGCTTCCAGAGGACTCCACGAAAGGTATGTTTTCACTTCCTGTATAGGACGTGAGACTATTTTAGATTTGCCTCATGTTATCAGATGTAGCTTTCTGAATGTTAGCAAAATGCATACTGCTTCTTAGGACCCTTTCACACCTGATGTTTATAAGGGAATTCTATTTATCTGAAAAAGTAAATTGGGTAACCCAGCGTTTCCGCCAGGGGGGCGTCTTGCCGTCATTTGAACTCGAGCCGAGGGCGTCCAAAAAATAAACAATTAGAGAAGATCGAGAGTTTTTATCGCTTGAAATGACGAAAAAGGACAAGGACATCCCTCTGTTGGAGGGGCAAAGGAGTCTGGTGGGATTCTTTTCGCCGCCAGCAAAGCGTGTTCCTGTGACGGAAAATGTACTGCCGGCGAGCCTTGACGGGGGGGGTGCTAGTGGAGCACGCGCGTGAACTACGAGCGCCAGAGCCTCGCAGCGGCTAAACTGAGGCTCCGTGGTAAACTGTGGTAACATGAAGAGCCGGCTCTTCTTATGCCGCAGTTCCACTACAGCGCGGAGCTCGCTTTAAGCGTGTCGTGTCGTGCCGTACCCGTTTTTGGTTGCGCTTCCACTAGGCCTAGTTACGGCCCGGCCCGGCCCGGGGCCACTTTTTCACGTCTTTTCTGGCCCGATAAAATTGTGGTTCTATCGAGGCCAACAAACAGGGCTGAGTCGGGCTGAGTATGCTAAACTAGAGAGAGGAGCGCTGCAAGGGGGCTACAACTACAACAAGATGGACATATTTGACCGTGATTTAATTGTAATACACGTTTCAAAATGATGCCGAAGTAACAACATACTGATACCGGTTAGTAAAAACCATGAATTAATGCTTTGTCAAGTCTGCAGACAGACGGCAGGCGAAAAACCTTTTAAAATGCGTGTTTTTCTAGGTGGAGATTGGCCAAGCTAACGCAGTATATGTTCCGACCGTCCACACTCACAACAACGGCCTATACAGACATAAATAAAGCAGCGACTGTATTCGCCATGACACAGACAGTCTGTGGTTTGTACTTGTTTAACTTTTGTCGAGTTTCTGAACATATATAAGGAGCTGTGAGCTCTGAGTGCTAACAGCTAACGGCTGTGTTGTGTTTCTGGAGTTCTCACTGAAGATGACGTCACGGCTCCGCCTACACTGCGTTACTATAGTAACTACCCCAGTTCCTAAACTGTAATGGAAGCGCAGCATGAAGTGAGTCGGCCCTGTTAAGGCCCAACGCGGCCAAGCCGTACCGAGCCGTACCGAGTGTGGCCGAGGCCGACCGTGTAGTGGAAATGCGCCATTAGTGAGCCGAAAGAGCCGGCTCTTCTTAGTGAGCCGAGCCAAATGATCAGGCTCACTAAGAAGAGCCGGAATTCCCATCACTAATACGTAAAGAGATAGTATCTATAAAAGACGGCTCAATTCAAAATTCAAGTCACGTGACACGCCCTCTCAGCCCTGGTTTGGCGGAAACACTGGGGTAACCTCAGTTTCGTACTTTAAGGCAGGTATATGCTGTGTTTCCCACGACTCTCCTCACTACTGCTTTTCCATCTTCCTTCCCCCCCCCACCTGACCTCTTCTCCTCCTCTTCCCGCAGGTTTTCTCCAAACTCTTCGAAGTGGCTCGGAGTCGAGTCCCGTTGGGAAGTCTCATCCCGGCTCCTCGGCCCCGGCTCGCCTCGAACAACAACGTGAAGAAGAAAAACTAGCAGCACGCCGTCGCTGTCTTTTCACTTTTATCCTCCCCCTCTCCCTGCTCTGTTTTGAAACCACGTTTTTTAGTACGGTTTGAGACGTGTAAATGAGTTTCTGTTCTCGGACTGTAGACAAAGGTTCCTCGCCGCGCTGGCTGTAGGTTTTAAGGACTCGCTGTAGACGCAGCAGTGTGATGTATTTTATGATTTGTCAGTGGGCGGGGTTACGGTATTTATTGGTGGGAGGGGCCATTATTCTATCACAGTGTTGTCCCAGGTGTGTGCGCTCGCCTGTCGGACGACGACATTAATGATTCCCGTTTTATGTGAATGTATGAATGATGAGCATGACCACAGACCCTCCTCATGGTTCCCCCCCCCCCCCCCCTTCCCTCCTGTCCTCTCAGTCGGGTTGTTTCTGTCGCTGGGCGGCGTCACGAGGAGGAGTCACGACCAAAGTTTACAGCTTTACTCACAGAGGCTCTCAGACTGAGCGACTGACAACAGGCAGGCTCATACATCAGTCTAAGGAATTCAAAAAACAAGTTCGGTTTCAGGGAAATTTTACAGTTTTTCTTACTCGGAATCACAAACTCATGGATATATTTGAACCTTTCTGTGCTGACTGAAGCGTGGTGAACGGCTAACGGCAGCTCGACTCAAACTGGGCAAACATGGCTGCAGCTCTGATGAAATTAAAGGAAAAACGACTAAGTACTTGAGCGTGGAGATTGGTTTTCGACCAGAAGATATTCACTAACCAGAGCTTTTGATTGATCAGTGAATTTAACTTTTTCATTGAACCTCTGTACAGCACTTAGGCTATGTGCCACACAGTCAAGAGCCTATTGTAAAGTGATCTCAGCATTACTCATTAATCATCAGTGATTTCTATACGGTTTAAAACTTGATTTTTGCGCTGCAGTTAACAGGAAGACTTCCAGTATGTGACCATGAGTTAAATCAGGAATCTGTGCGGTGTTGGCAGTCGCTTCAAGCTCTTGTAAGTTTTAAAATTAAGAATATTTTGGAATCATGACTGAAGAAGCTGTTCCTTCAGATAGTTACCATTACTCTAAACATCCATGAGTTTGTCTGACCTTGTGAAAGTAGAGCTGTAAGTCAAATAAGCTTCCCCCGAAACCAGCTGACTCTTGAAGTAGCCGTCTAAAGTTGACCTTATTATCTTTATCTTGATTGATTCATCCATTATTTTCATATTATCGGTATTGACTTGATCATGATTTTCAGTATTAAACCTATTATGTGTTTTCTAGTTTACTTTAAGGTTAGTAAGTAGAGGACCTCGTGTTTTGAGTCAGGGAAGATTAGGAACTATTTCTTGATGGCGTATCATTCCACCTCGGCTCAACTTAACGTAGAAAAATGACAAATATTGATGTCTGATCCCAAAACGGAAAGCACTACGAACCATTCCTTTAAATCTTGAAAGATATCTGGGTTATTATTTTGGGGGCTTTTTTTAAACATTAACCTCACGATGAACCATTTTGATCTGACTGCCGGCGTTTCAGAGAACAAAGCTTTTTTTAAATTGTGTTCCTCCAGTTCAGCTCAGACCTTGTAGATAATATGTAATTGTTATTTAACTAGAGTGTTATTCCCTCTCTGTCATTCCTCCCCTTCATCGTCACATCTAAAGGACTCTTATTGTTGTTTTTCAACCACCAGGCACTACAAATCATTTCATCGCTTGCATTTAATGTTACTGTTTCCATTTTAAAGCCAAACTCTGATCATTGGATGACTGAACTTCATTCCAGACGTCGACCCCATCACGTTGTTGTTTTTCTGAATCGTATTTTCTTAATTTAATCCCCATCATTCCATCCACAACATCACCACCGTGTGCTTTTTTGTTTTTGTACAGTTTAGTTTTTTACAGCCTCATCCACACATAGGGCATGTGTATGAATATATACATATATAAATATAAATTTTCTAGACCTTTTTGTAGCTGTAAGAACAACGGTTTGGGTGGTAGACCAGATTCAGCTCACTGGACGTAAAGGAATGCTTTCGTGATTTGTGGATATGTCTAATAAATTCCTTTTTTATATATATTTGTACATTTTATCTTACATGAGCACTGCGATTCCACCCCTGCTGGCGAAGAATGTTTATAATCTGGATTCTTTTTTTCTTCTTTATTCCTTTGTCTTTTGTTGCATTTTAAAGTTATTTTCGTTAATTTATTTTTCAATACAATAATAAACCAAACTCGTACAACACAAAGAACGGTGTCGCTTCATTTTTAATGTCTTTTTAAAATGTGTGTATTGTGAAGATGTTCACTGGGATTTAAGGAGTTAAGTTACATTTAAAATGTAAATAACATTTTAAGCATGTAGTTAATTAATGTGTTCATCACAGCTGTAAACAGTGGAGCTAATTTATTTACTTTATATACTGCTGCTGGATATCTTAACTTCATATCAAAGTATGTATTATATATATATGTTGTATTAACTTATTTATGTATTTGGATCTAAACTCCTCAAAAAAAGTTTGGAAACGTTATTTCGGTCAATTATTCCTCCCCTTTAATAATACCTATTGTATTTTATATCGTTGGAAAGCCTGATTAGTCACTTTTACGAGGTACAACTTGTGAGGATCGTGCATTCGTGGAATGAGCAACACAGCTAACCGTGTGGGTAGCGGCCCAAAAACATTTGCCAAAATCCCCTGCAATATTCTTCTGTTGGTATTCACTCTCGTTTTGAGCTTCAAGTGCTGGCAGGTGTATGCCAGTCACAGGTGTGTGTGACTGACACCTGATTACAGGCAAGATTTGCACAACGGTACCACAGACAGATCTCTGATCAGACGGTGAGGAACAGACTGCACATGGCCGGTCTTCGTGCTTATAAGGCTGCCAGGAAGCCTGCAATGACTGCCCTTCACCGTCAGGCCCGTTTGCGCTGGTGTCGACGGCACCGACAGTGGAACCTAAGAATGTGGGGGAACGTCATCTCACCTCTCTCTCACAGGCAAAACAGAACTTGTCATCATTGAAGGCAATCTCAATGCAGTGAGATATCGGAATGAGATTCTGGAGCCAGTGGCGATCCCATATCTCCAGAATCTGGGACCTAACTCCATCCTCCAGGATGACAACGCTCGCCCCCACAGAGCCAGGATCATCACAGAGTAGGCTACCTCTAGAATGTGGAGAGGATGGAATGGCCTGCCGTGAGTCCAGACCTCAACCGTCAACCCAATTGAACACTTGTGGGATCAGCTTGGGCGTGCTGTACGTGCCAGAGTGACCAACGCAACCATGTTGGTGACAAATCCTGGTTGAGGAATGGGATGCCATCCCACAGCAGTGTGTGACAGGCTGGTGACCAGCATAAGGAGGAGGTGCCAATCTGTTGTGGCTGTGTATGGATCTTCCACACGTGACACGCTACTGAGACCATTCCTAGCATTTGGTGCCATTTAGGTCCCCACCACATTAGGCGCTTTCACACCGGAGTACTTTTCCCAGCACAAATGAAAAACAAAATGCCATGAGAACACACTTAGTCCTGTCTCATTCTCACACACAATCACTCACACACACAAGGTATAAGGAGGTTTAATATGTACGAGTGTGTATGAGTTTGGGAGTCAGAAAAAGAGAGAGAGAGAAAGATATGAGGCAAAAACTGCGACTTGCTGTAAACTAAATCTACTGTATATTGTTGTCTCTGTACACACACACACACACTGTACATACACACATTTCTCAGCTGATACCACTCTTACACATCCATACCAACACACCTACACATGAGTTGCATACATGTATTCCAATGGCTGGCAGGGCCCCATTATACAACAGGCCCAGTGTGCTGGACTTCGAATCAGGGGATAGCAAGTTCGAGTCCCACTGCAGTCAGCATGTCGTTGTGTCCCTGAGACACTTCACCCCAAATTGCTCCTGTGGGGATTGCCCACAGTATTGAGTATGTAAGTCGCTTTGGATAAAAGCGTCTAACAAATGACATGTAATGTACAACAGGCCCAGAAACCGAATTCATGTTTTCAAACTGGCAGTTAAAGGGTTAAAATCCTGAAAATAATTGAATATTTGGTATTTTTGATCAGGACTGAAGTTGATTGAAAGATTTAACCCCAAAAAGTTTAAAAACATATTAATCTGTTATAATTTTATAGCAGTTTTTGGAAGTGGACATTTTTGTCCCGAATGGCTAATGTGTGAGTTTTTTGTTTAATCTGATTCTGGGCAAAAACTAATAATCCACCAAAATAAATGTTGTTGATAATCTTTGACATATCCAAGACTGTGATAAAAAAGAAAGAGCCAGTCCCCAGATATGTATTATATGGAAAATAACTCATTTTCTCTGTTTTTATCATGAAAAACAACAGCAATTTCATTTATTCAAAATGGCATTTAAAGGGTTAAAATCCTGAAAATTATGACATTTTTGGTATTTTTGATTAGGGCTGAAGTTGCTTTAAAGATTGAGCCGAAAAAACTGAAAAAAAACTTTTAATATTGTAGCGTTCGACAAAGGGAGTCGGAAACAGGCTTCCAGTGATTGTCTTTAATAACTCCTTTGTTCGCTTACGGTTATAGAATCCAGCTCAGGTTACAGGTTACAGGTTTGTCATTACTCTCTACTCCACTCCCTAACTCACACTCACAGCAGGGTCAACGTCACGACACCCCAGCCCTCCCCCCTCTGCTCCCCCAACCACAGGCCCGCACACCGACCAGCATTACTGTGCAGCTCCGTGATTGGCAGAGAGACGGGGGACGCTTGAGTGACACACCCAGCACCCTATGCAGGGTCGCTACAATATAATGATTTTATCAAAGTATTTTTCAGTGGACATTTTTGTCCCGAATGACTAATTTGCGTAGTCCAATCGAATGATACCGGAGGGTTAAAGAAACATGCGCAGGGTTTATTGAAAGTGTTGCATAAAGTATAGAGTTTTTCCGCTTATTTTAACAATGTGATCGCATGATTCTTTTTGATATTATGGCAGATCTGCTGTAAGCTAGCTAGCTAACGTAGCTAACCTAGTCATTTCAAATATACTAACAAAACACAATTATGAAACAACGTCAACAAGCACAACAAGTGTCCCCTGGCTACTGTTGTGCTTTGAGTTTGAGTTATAAAGCAATAATTCAATGTCAACACAATGCTTTTCATTCCTTTGTTTGTTGTTGTAAAGACCAGAGCAAATCCAAGACTGATGATGACCAAAGATGTTTCAATGAAATGACACAATATCTGACAGAATGTATGTTTGAGACCAAGTATCCATTTCAAAATATGCTAAAACAAACTTTATTCCAAATAAATAACAACAAAACATGCACTGTTTTTATTTTTTTTAATTGAAAGACAGTAGATAGACAGCTCTCAATAATAGATGTGTAAAGTTATAAGCAGTTCAATGAAGACAACTTTTATACACAGCATGGAGGCAATAAGAGTGAATCCATTGAGTTGTTAAAGCTCAAACATTTCTTTTGATAAAATGAAAGTAGAAAATAATTACACATTTAAAGTGTTTTTTTTCCATATTTCTACACATTTAAAGTGTTGATACTAAAATGTAAGCAGCTTCATCCTAACGGCAGGTACTTGTAATCTCCTCCTGTCGTCAGCAGGTGGCGCTGTGGTCTCACATTAATGGGACTTCAGGTTCCTGTGCTGCTGTCTCAAATCTTACATTTGGATTCAGATTGTTTTCTTGTTTATAATTAAACTTATACGGGTTACTTTAAAAACTGTAAAAATCCAATTACATATCTGAACCTGAATACTTTTATTTTATTTGTATGAAATAAGCGAAAATGTCTAACTTTTGCTGGGATTTGCCTGCTCAAATAGTTAAATGATCATCAATAATTTTGTCAGTTCAGTTTATTATTTCAGCCGTGACTTGTGCCCACCTCAACGTCCAAATATAGCCCCCGCCAAGGATGAAATATAGACGCCGAATGTCAGCCATCATTGGGGCAGAGGTCCCAGAGGTTCCTGTCCATAACCCCCTGGGGCAGAGGTGAACCCCTGAATCCCCCACGCCAGCCCTCCTCTGGACTCACACAGACAAGATGTCCACAGGAAGCCACACTCGACTCACAAGGGCCACCCTACTGTCGTCTTAAAGGGTCAGGAAAGGAGGGAGGGACAGAGAAAACACCACAGCTGGCATCAGAAACATGTGTTATATAGGTTTTAGTGCATGTAAATGGTCTACAAAGGCTAAAATCCCTGTGTTCCCTTTCCGACATCTCCCACAAACACATTGTAGGTGATAGGCTAAGGGGCGGGACGTCTCTAAGCGGTTGACCAATCCCAACAGAGCCAGCCAGCTAACCAATCAGAGCAGACTGGGCCCTGGTTTCAGACAGAGGGTGAAAAGAGGTGCTGCAGCACAGGCAGGATGAGAAAAATAAATAGCTTTTTGAACATTAAAGCATGGAGACATGTCCCAGTAGAAGCAGTAAATGCTGATATGAACCTGAAAATCCTTACATCTTTTTAATGATCCACAATTTAAAAAATTGAAAGAAATCAATAGCACTGCCAATTTTCTCCAATCAACACCACAAGCTGCTGAAATATAAAAAGACATTTGTTCGCTGGATGTACAGGTCAGGATGAATCCCCTCATAAGTTCTCTGATGGGAAACAGAAAGTTCAACCTGATGAATCAGAGCAGATCCGACAGACACGAAGAGCACGAGGAAATCCCCGGGAAGATGAAGTGCCCTGATCACCTTTTCATACGCCTGCATTACAGGAGAATAAGCCACTGTGCAGATCCAGGAGCAGATGAGGGATTATCGTGTGTGTGGTGAAGAGGCCACGAAGGTCCAAGAGACCTGGAACACGGGATGTTCTTTAACCAACAAAACAGTCAAATATTTGTCTAATTTTCTACATGAACTAAAAGTTGATATGAATATAAGACACAGAGAATGAGATTAAGATAATTGTATTTGAATCAATACACTACAACATTGCAAGTCCATACATCTTATAGCAGTGAAAGTCGTACAAGATGGGAATATTGTAAACATATAAACAATTCCAAAAACAATTTATTTTTCTTATGTTTCACTACAGCTGACATCCAAAGAGTTGGTACCCCTGAACCATCTCCTCAATGCCCAAACAGGTAGGTCTGTGTTCATCACTTTGACACTCAGCTTCTATCGGCCAGTACTCGATCCAGGTTCTTTCTCCAAGTACATA